TGATTGAGCGTTATGCTCCCCTTCGCGGTCGTATTTTTTTTTATACAACTTTGCGCGGACCTCGCTCAGACACTTTGTTTTTTTTTTAGTTATCGGTCAAGATGTATGAAAAGGGACTAGGCTTATTTGCTTGTTTAAGTTAGTTTTATTGTTATTGAGTGTCGCGTGGTTGAGTTAGGATGTCATAGTTGACCGACGTTGAATCACACGTGTGAGATTAGCGCCCCATCATGATGGTTCGCGTACGGGTTCGAGCTAGGCGTGAACCGTACGTACCCCCTATGCTACAGTATATGAAAGACGCCCTCGATCAGGCCACCTCAGCGATTGCACGTAAAAACTTTCGCGTGTGGTTCAGTAGCTCGGCGGGGATATACCCACCCAAAAGATGGTGACAACTCCCGCGAGTGGAGGTAAGTTGTACCTTGCGAGACCCTATCCTGTCGTAGGGACTTGATGGATGTATAACTGTTGCACAGCCGGAGCGGCTCTGCCTCTTCACTTTTCGTGAAGCGACTTGATAATCTGCCAATCCTGCGTGACGCGGCCGGGAAGGTCCCCCCAGCGAGAACCGTACACTCGATATCGCACAAAGTATGGTTGTGCCACCAAAAAAGGGTTGTCTACATTAGCGGAGGGGTTCGGAAGGGCTAATTTCTGTGGGACGTGGTTGTACCACCCAAAAGGTTGTCTATATTAGTGGAGGCATGTGGGAACACTATTTTCTGTGAGACCAACACCATGGTCATTGTAGTCGAGGTGAATAGGTAAGTGACAATAATGGGTGTGCATCAGTTATTGTGGCACGCAGTAAAGTATGAAGGGATGGATTGATAAAATTATCAAATGGTCCCGCCCACAAAGGCAGAGGAGTCGGCTTTCGAGATCATGCTACATGCGGTAGCGTGTGTGGGATAACTGTGGGTTAATATGTCATCTCATCGGGTCCTAGGATGCGGGGTGAAATCGTTACAAGCCCTGACCACAATTGTGAGATGAGGGAGTGTCGTAGTTGTGAAAACCTGCGCCGTCGTGTGACTGGGGTAGTGAAGTAATAATGTGGTTCAATTGTAAAATCTGACGCTCAAAGAGAGTTGGTCAATGCATAATTCAAAAATTTTGCCACAAGGTTGTAGATCACATTTGTTTTCGCTGCCCTTAAGCCACCCCCCCCCAACAACCGAAAAACCTCGGTCCTTTAAGTTAGGGTCGGGTTCTACGGATGAGCGGCGACCGTTCGTCACTAGCTGATCTGATCCCACCATTTGAAACCCGTAACTTTGACAATTTTTCGTGCTTATAAGAATTCTTCCAATTTTATGAAATTTTGAAGGTCCGTAGATTGGGTCGTGATTTTTCAAGGAAAAATATCAGAATAAATAAATAAAATTATTTTGATCGTGAAAGAATCGTCACGTCGATTCAACACATTTTTATTTTTTTGACACTAATTATATTTTTGTCATTCACCCGGTTTACTGGTGTCCCTCGTGAAACGGCGGTACCGGTTCTCCGAGGTTTTTCATGTTAGGGGGAGTGGCGGGAACAATGGTGGTTAAGGATATTTTCCCACACGCCTTACGTACAGACATATACACATTATAGTAAAAAACCCTATAAATATTGACGAGGGGAAAAAACCAAATAACTTGGCTAGCAGACCCCAAACTTGCCCTAGACAGAGATTGAAAAACTGTAACCTCTGCAACTTTCAAACTGAACTATCATTGTCAAACCAATTAGCAGAATTTTGAATTGTCCATTATATGGTGGAAATTGACGAGTGAGGAGTCACACCCGAGGTTTTGGACTTGAGCGAGTTAACCAATTATTAAATTTGACATGAGGGGAGCAGACAATGAAAGATAATAAAAAGGGTCCGCACGAGAGAGCGAGAGAGATGCATTCGAAAGCTATGTCATTTAAGATCAAGGTCATATCCGATGTTTTCTAGGACTGTGACCTCAAACGCACCTTCAAATAAACATTTAAAGGAGAAAAAAAAAAGTACAAGCGATGGAAGGCTGAGGGGAAAGTTTGAAGTGATAAGATAAATTATCGAGTTTAAGTCATGTTCGCTTCAACGGAAGGGTATCGTATTGTTTGCTAAGTGAGGGATAAGGAGCTGAGCGAACTGAATAAGAGACCGAAGAAAAAGAAGGAGAGAGAAAGAATTGAGAATAGTATGATGAGACGAATGTGACGGACAAGATTGTGTTATAAATATTGGTTATCGAACCAAGTCCCAACACGCGCAATACCTCAAAAACCGTTGGTTAGTAATAAAAAAACGTAGAATGAGTGTAAAATATAAAACGAGAAGATTGCTAAAAAGGGTTACAAAGATGAGAGAGGATAAAGATATGACATTTTGGATGTAACTGAACCCCCTCTGGTTTCACCGAGACAAGACTACATCCAGATGAGCATCAAGAACGGCAATGGAACCATGAACGTCGTATGGGATAATAATGGATTCCTCTGGAAACAAATGAAGATGACGGACAACAGAGACTTCAACAAGGGGCCGATGAAGGAGTTCGTTAAAAGGTCGAATGATGAAAGACAAAAATAGTTAACGAAGGAGAAGTAAGTTCGATGTAATTAATAAAAAAACACAAGAGTCAAAACGCCAAAAGTACCGAGGTGCCCAACGTTAGAAAATGACGAAGTCGTGAACTTGCTCCCCCTCAATACTTGGGATGTATGAACTAACAAAAGGAAGTCGAACAGTCGACGCATGACGTCAAACGAAGGCAGCGGTGTCATAGCAAATACCCTTACAAGTGTCTTTGTTAATATTTATGTAGGTTGCACGGAGTGCGTCTGTAAAATTGTGAGAAGTGTTATCGTGTTAACCTTTCCTCTGACACGCATTTAGATGATTGTAGTCAAAGTGAAAAGAGTAACTAAGGCTTAAATTAGTGTGGGCATGCATTATTTACCTCCCGTAGTAGGTGGTAAGATTGCATTTTGCAGCGTGCCTGTAGCTAATCTGGCCTAGAGCCAGAGCTATTTGGCTATTTTTCCTGTTCGGCCTGTGGGACCAGGCCGTGGCCGGAACCCACAGGTCATGTACTCATTTGGTCCAATCCAGTCCAGTCTTGCGCGGTGCCACGGTCGGTACCAGTCCAGTCCAGTCCAGTTAGTCCGCTGGGGATATACCCCAACCCCAGTTTGTTTTCGAGTCATTCCTTGTTTATTCAGTTTGAAGTACGTGCGTGTTGGATCTGTGTTGGAACTGCGATCTACATTTCCTTCTTCCTCATGTCTTTGTCTTTTGATCCTGACAGACTGCCATCTTAGCGGGTCCGTCACACTGGCATCAGGGCAGGCGTTTCTCCTTGCTCCCCTCCCTCCCCCCCCTCCAATCATTTATCACGTGGCTTGAGCATAAGAGCGCACCACTTCATTTTTATTATGACACTAGTGCACATTTTTCATCATAACTTTCGCATCTAGTGTCCAAATGTTCTTATATTTGGCTTGTTAGAAAGCTCTCAACGAGCCGCACACACACACACACACACACACACACACACACACACACACACACACACACACACACACACACACACACACACACACACTCTCGTTTTTTGCGGCGCTTCAAATCTGAATTTCGGGCGCGAGGGCATGATGGAAAGATGCATGCGCCTCATCAGGGCATATCGCGCAGGGCGCAGGGACCACGTGCTTCAAATCCGAATTTCCGGCGCTAGAGCATGATGGAAAGGTGCATGCCCCTCATGGAGGGCATATCGCGCAGGGACCGGTCGAAAACTGTGCCCCTTGCTGACAGGTGCCTGCAGGAAAGTTTTTTTTTTTTTTTTTGTAAAAAAAAATTTAGATTCTTCTCTCAATTTTACCTCACACTACCTACCTACCAGTACTCTTAATTGTAGGCATACGGGGAACCTCGTAGCAGCCAGAACCGTGCTCACGAGAGAATATGCGGGGGCTGCTCCCGACCTGCAGGTGGGCGATATCGGCTAGGGGACAGCTGGTAGCATCAGGGACCATGCCAACAGGACCAATCCCTGTGCCTCTCCTCAGGTCCCCACCCCTATGAACATCAACAGACTCTGCTAAATGCCAATCGGGGGATCCAGTGGTCTATCTCTAGGTGGCGGGCGCCAAGCATGCCCAGGAAGGTACATGAGGCCAATGGGGATTGAACCCACGACCTCCTGAATGCCACTTGCGAGCCTTACCAACTGATAGACCGCGCCCGGCGCGGTAGCGCAGCCAAGGGGCGGAAGGGTGGCGCGTAAGGAGCGAGGAGGCATTTCGTGGGGGAAGGTAAGGCACAAAAGTTGCATTCAGGAGGTCGTGGGGTGCAATCCCCAATGACCTCACGTACGTGCCTGGGGAAGCTTGGTGTTCTACACGCTAGAGATAACCCGTTGGCCCCCCAAGCCAGCGTTGGCATTGTTGGTTGCTTTGCAGCGGGCCTACCTCAGTTGGTAGGGCACAAAATTTTTATTTTTTATTTATTTTTTATTTTTTAAAGGCTAATTTTTTAAGCCCAACCAATTCAATTATCTGTCAAATCTGGACAGGACGGCCTTTTCATGCCTTTTTTTTTTATTGTCATTATAGCATTACGGGGAACCCCGTAGCAGCCACATCTGTGCTCAAGCCTCCAACGAGGGAACATGCGGGCGCTGCACCCACCAGCAGGTGCGATACCTGCTATAGCAGGTGGGCGATACCGGCCAGGGGTCAGCCGGTAGCATCAGGAATGAGCTTCTTCGATGGGCCAGTCACTGTGCCTCCCCTCCGGTGCCCTCCCCCTATGAACATCAGCAGTCTCTGCTCAATGCCACTCGGGGGGACCAACGGCATATCTCTAGGTGGCGGGCGCCAAGCTTGCCCAGGAAGGTACATGAGGCCAATGGGGATTGAACCCAAGACCTCCTGAATRCCACTTGCATGCCTTACCAACTGAGCTAGGCCGCTGGATGCTTAGGGCACAGAAGTTGCATTCACGACGTCGTGGGTTCAATATGAAAAAAAAAAAAAAACCAGCCGTGGAGAATGGAATTTTGGCAGGTCGACAACAAAAGCGCAGGGAGGTTTTTGCAGGCTTTTTGCAGCCATCTCCGCGAGATCTGTTTTTTTCTGAAGGGTGCGTGCGAGGGAAGGTTTCTGCTTGCTGGTGCAAGGGAGCGAGGGGGCAAAACATCTTATCGCGAAGATGCCTCGTTCTTCGAAGGGAAGATTAAGTGGAATGATGAGGCGGCCTGCACCTCCCCCAGCTCCTCGTCCAGTGGCACAGGCTCCCCCGCCTGCTGTCCCCCAAAGGGATGAAGGAGGCTCGCTTCTCGGCGGCATTGGCTCAACAATTGCCCAAGGAATGGCGTTTGGAACTGGGAGTGTTGTGGCGGACAGAGCAGTTGATGCTGTGATCGGTCCAAGAGGCGGTGGTGCGGCACCTGCGGCTGCTGCTCCGGAGCCTCTTGCAGCTTCATCCCCTTTCGGGGGTCAGACAGTTGATGCTTGTGCTAATCAGGCGAAGGCATTTCAAGATTGTCTGGAGCATAATAATTATGACATTGGGAAATGCCAGTTCTATATTGATATGCTCACTTCCTGCAGACGCAATGAGACCATGTTGCAGTCTTAATGAGGTATCAACAGTCTATGGGGTTACCAAGATCGGAATGGCTATAAGATGTGGGAGCTCTGATCTATTATTGTTGAAGAACTTCTGTCTGGCATCCTTTCGAACGCCTGCTGTTGTATCGGAAAGCCTACGCACTCCGTTTTCTGAAGACCTGTGCTTCCATGTTAGCTTTGGTGATATTGAACTGTAGAGACTCTGGAGAGGAGGGGCGTGACATCTGGAGATGGACGCGTTTGTGGATTTTAGTGTGATGTTGAAGCCTTCCGGTGACGGGATACCCCCCATGACGGAGGACGCTTTGCATGGGGATTAAGGGCCTAGCTGCACTACTCTCGAAATGTGCAAAACGAGAGTGAATCTTCCGCTAGAATATGGAAAGATATACGGCCATGATTTTTGTCTTTTGTGCATTTCAAGAGTAGTGCAACGAGGCCCTAAGTGGGTGAAAAAATCAGCGGCCTAGCTCAGTTGGTAAGGCATGCAAGTGGCATTCAGGAGGTCTTGGGTTCAATCCCCATTGGCCTCATGTACCTTCTTGGGCAAGCTTGCCGCCCGCCACCTAGAGATATGTTGTTGGTCCCCTCGAGTGGCATTCAGCAGAGACTGCTGGTGTTCATAGGGGGAGGGGACCGGAGGGGAGGCACAGTGACTGGCCCATCGAAGAAGCTCGGTCCTGATGCTACCGGCTGACCTCTGGCCGGTATCGCCCACCTGCTGTAGCAGGTATCTCACCTGCTGGTGGGTGCAGCTCCCGCATGTTCCCTCGTTGGAGGCTTGAGCACGGATGTTTTTTTTTTTTTTTAACAAGAGATAACTCTGTTCATTTCAACAAAAAAAAGGGAGACCGGGAAAACCTCCACAAACAACCCGGAACAAAAAATCTGGAACCATTACCCAGCTTAGGTGCAGGCGATGGGGTGTGTCCAGGCAAGCAGATGTGGCCAAATCTGGGCCGCTGGATTTGGTGGATCCCTATCGTCTAACACATCCTGATTCCCCAGGATTCACATGGTTTTCGAACAGACGCGAAGACTCTGGGTATACCATGAGAAGGCTTGATTATTTTCTGATTTCCTCCAACTTGTGGGAAACAACGGGAGAAATTCATGTGTCTGCACATCCTATGTCCGATCATAAGCCCGTTTTAATTACGATCCACACCACAGGTATATCACGGGGCAAAGGCTTATTTCGGTTTAATACCGAAAACCTGAAGGAGAAAGGGTCGATAGATTGGATGAAGAATTTTTGGAGGGATTGGGAGAAAAGTCGAGAGGACTATGCATCCAGGGCGGAATGGTGGAATTCTGGCTCCCGAATTTTTTCCAACTTTATGTCGGTCTTATCTAGGATCCTGGCCTATAAGAGAGAGAACAAAGTTAAGTTGTTGCAGCGAAGGATTGAGTATACCGAAGGACGTATGATGGAACACCCAGTTTCGGAACGAGTTTGGGGTCAAGAGAGAAACAGGCTGCTTTCTGAATGGGATGACCTCCAGGTCGCACAGTCTGATGTATGGGCTGAGCGACTCAGGATTAAGGGCATAGCTGTTTATGACCGCATGACTAAAGAGTCTTTCCATAAGCTATTGCCCCGTAGATCCACAGTGTCAATGAAAGAGTTGAGACACCCTTTCGACGAGGTAGCTCCAGCTGCGAGAGAACTGAAGGATTTATGCGAGTACGCTGCTATTTATTACAAAGATATTCTTACTACTCGCTTACAGAGTACTAACCGTTCTGACTTGCATAAAACTTCTAATCATTGGACAAACACGGAAGTCAGATTGTCGCTAGCTGGAAAATTGGACTTAGACCGACCTATCTCAACCCAGGAAGCTTATGAGGCCCTCAAGGCAATGTCTGTTGGTAAAGCACCGGGGGATGATGGCCTCTCAGTGGAGCTGCTCCTGGTCATCTGGGATGTTGTGGGGGACAGCTTGGTGGAGATATATAACGAAATTTTAATGGGTGGTAGGCTTTCAACAAATATGTGCCGGGGGATTATTTTTGTCCTGTATAAGAAGGGCGATAGGACTGAGATTCGAAATTGGCGACCTATTTTTGTGCTTAATGTTTTCTATAAAATACTGGCGAGAACTTTGGCTAGATGGTTGGGGAGTTATCTCCCACAGTTGGTTAACTCTGATCAATCGGCCTTTATAAAAGGAAGATCTATCTTCGACAATATTGTGACTGCAATTGAGACCTTGGAGGTTGTTCAAAACGATCAGACTAACATGGTTGTACTCTTGTTGGATTTGGAGAAGGCATATGACCGGGTGAACTGGTCATACGTCTCGTCAACTTTAGACTGGATGGGTTTTGGGAGAAATTTATGTCAATGGGTCATTGCTCTCTATACAGTCTCAACTACTGCGGTTATGATCAATGGTCGCCTCTCTGATGAGTTTTCTCTTACTCGATCCCTTTGTCAAGGCTGTCCCCTGGCTCCTTTGCTTTTTGCAGTTCAAATGGAAGGAGTGTTGAATAATATTCGGGCACATACTCATATCATTGGATTACAAGCAGGCCCCTCTCCGCTCAAGGTTAAAGCCTTGGCTGATAACCTGTTTGCTGTGGTCCAAAACTCCGAGAGTTCATTAAAGACCTTGAAAGGTTGTCTGGACGAATATGCTAGCTTGTCAGAGGCGGTTATAAATTGGCATAAATCAGCATACTTCCTACCAGCCCAATTTTCCTTGGAAGTTGAGTGGGGCATGAAACGAATACAAGATGAGGAGTCGAAACGTTTTTTGGGTGTACAAGTCTCGCTTTCGAACTGTGTGGAAGCACAGAACGGTATATTAATTCAAAGGATCAACCAGAGACTGAATGCGTGGGGTAAAGCCCCTCATCTATCTATTTATGGGCGGGCAATGGTGATCAATGGAGCACTATTTGCCCTACTGTGGTATGTGGGAAGGGTGAGGGAGCTAGATCCGTTAGTGTACTAAGTGTCTAAGAGGCGTGCCGCCAAATTTATTTGGAAGCCTTATGCAAAGGAGGATGAGTCGTTCATCTCGAAAGTGGCTTGGGAGATGTTGTGTCAGCCTCGTGCTGTAGGGGGCTTGGGAATATTAGATCCCAGAAGACAGAATGCTGCAATGTTGGTTCAATGGATAGTTAAAGCTAGCCTACTATCCTCTCCCCCCCATTGGGTCTTTCTAGCAGAACAGATTCTTTCGAAAGAATGGAATCTGATCAGGCCCGAGGATGTCTGGACCTGCCTGATGCTTTTCTCTTATCAGAAGAGACATGTTAAATCCCCCTTATGGGCCCCTGTTATCAAAGCCTGGAGAAAGGTTCACCCAAGTGAATGGAAGGAACCCTCGTCCAAAGCGGCAGTTCTAGCTCAGCCTTTGTTTGAGAATCTCAGAATTAGAGATGCCTCTCGGCAGTGGTTTAGAGCGGATACATCTTCTACAAGCTTTGGACGTACTTGGATTGAACGAGGAGTTTTGAGGATTCAAGATATTTGGGACACAGTATTGGGGGATAAGATAACTGATCAAGCATTGAGAGAGAAATTAGGACAGGTCAGGCTTCTGGAAAACCGCAAAAGAACATTGATAGCATCTATTCCATCTCATTGGAGGAGCATCCTATCTCCGGGGGGAATAGATCCACCAGGCACATGGTTTACTGCGTCGCCTACAGTGCCGGAGCAAGTCTGGAAGTTGACTCTTATCAGGTCGGATGGTTTGAGAGAATTCGAATGTTGGTCTGTTGGTGATAGGATTTTGTATTTGGATGAGGCAAATCCCCCTCCACCGGTGGGTGCTACGCTGCAACAAATTAGAGTATTTGAAACCCCACAACGAGATGCCTCGAACTTCTGTGAGCTCTTTGCCAATGGAACTCCAGTAGCTCAGTTGAAACTGGATCTAGCAGCTTGGGAATGGACGGTGAAAAGCTCAAGAGGTGTGAATGCGACTTTGGCAGACTACTCTCTCAAGGTGGGCTATGCTGTTAACCAGCCTTTAAAACATCCTCAGACAATTGCTAGAGAAAGGTGGCTTCAGCTTCTTCCCATCCCACCTGAAGAAGTAGAAAGAGCTCTATCAGTTTGCTGGACTCAGTTAAAATTGATTGTCAATTAGAGACAGGCCTCACTCTTATGGCTTGTATCTTTGGCCTCTACCCCCTCTGCAGTTTGGTTGGCAGAGCGGGGGATGAAACTGGACCTTACTTGTCATCGGTGTGAATGGACCTTTGAATCTATTGTTCACCTAGGTTGGAACTGTCCTGCCTCTACTCGTATTTGGAATTGGTGGACGGCTCAATGGAACCGTACGTCAAACACGGTCTTCCCCTGGACTAAAGAGTGGTCTCTTCTGGGGGGCGTTCCGGAGGGGCATCGGAGCACCAAGGGCTGGGGTTATGTAGCGCAGTCTACTAGGGCAGTGATCTTTGATGTTATTTGGCAATGTAGGAATGATCAGGTCTTCAAGGGGAAGGATTGGACGGACGAACAGATTCGTCAGACTGTTAAGAAACTCCTGCGCCAATCTATCCAGGCTGATTGGCGACGCAAAGTAACTTCTCATTCTTTCGCCCAGTCGGGTCTCCGTTGGTTCAATGATACGTGGGCGCTGAGCTCGGAACTTGCTTCAATTGAGCTTGGCCCCCGTCTGATGCTGGGCTCTTGGTTGCTTTAAAGATAGATTAATGTAAACCTCTTCGCTCGGTTTCTTTTTGGTCGTGGGAGACAGGCAGCAGGCGTGGTAAGTGGAGGGAGCGATTATGTGTGTGGGGGACCCTGGGGGCTCCCCGTCACCGTTTTAGGTGGCAGTAGTGGAAGACTTGTGTTAGAGTTTGTGGTAGAAGTTGGGAGTTAAGTTTTTGGTTTGTGCTGGTTTTGTAGGCCGTGTTGGCACTTGACAGAGGCATGTATTGATGGCCTCCCTCAAGAACTTCTTTTTTAGTTAGGCTCTTTTGGGATTGTGTGGCTTTTAGGCATTGTTGAGCACGGATGTGGCTGCTACGGGGTT